AAGATGACCAAATAAGGATAATTTATTCGTTTTTGGCATATGATTTCATTTGATTGATGAAGCTCTTAGATGCTGACATGTGTCACCTCTAGTGCACACCTTTGTCTGCAAGACAAGACAACAGGAAGGAAAGGTACTTTTAGTGTTCTCTCATGCCCACGTTATATCCAGAAAATCGAACTCATTTCTTCGTGAAGATTTTTATGGATTCTTCTATTATTATAAATGGAATCTACCAAAGGATTTATGGACTGTGGCAGCAGCAACAATGCGAATTGTCATCTGGTGTTTTTTTTATGTTACAAATTAGTACAATGTGCAAAACAGAGGATTTATGCTTGCTGAATGATTAAAAAAAAACAAATAGAGAAATATAGAAATATAGAATTGCAAGATGCAAACACAAGAACGGCAAGAACTGTACATGAGGGTACCGTGATAACAAAAAAACAAAAACAAAAACAAAAAAAATCTCATTCCCAAGAGCTGTACATGAGGTAGCTTGCCAGCTAGCAAACATGGGACGAGAATGCTTGCAATTCAATATTGTCCTGGTGAACGTTTATTCTTTGTTTTCCCACACATTAATACTTCCTCGTGTATGTTATCCAATCTTGTTTCGACAAAAAAAAATAAATTTATCCAATCTTGTATTGGTTATCTGTTTTCTTTTGTTTTACAGAAAGAGTTCAATTACAAACAGAAATCACATGGGCACACAAGCTCGAAAATATTAAAAATAAAATGGAAGGGGAACAATTCAAAGGCAACTCATGCAAGGGCGGAAGGAGGAATTTTGCAATAGGTGGGTTAGCTAAAGTTATTAGCTTAAAATTTAATAATCATATTTATTTGTACTTACAGTTTCTATAGTATTTCTAGAAATAAAAAGTATACATTAAATTATATAAACCATACTAGTTCATAGCTCTATTGATTAATTCCTAATAATCTTCAGCATAAAACAAATAAATATTAAATGCAACTGACAAATACATTATTAAAATGAAAGTATGTTCAATAACATAATTGAAATGGTACATATTTAATGTGTACTTTTATTGATGCCCAACAATTAAATTCATAAAGAATTGGACTTTTTGGAACCACGTCCTCAAAGAGGCATTCAGCCACAACGATAGCAAAGCAAGGCATATATAATTATTTTCTTTAACCTTGAATACTGAATTCCATATTAAAAATATGAGATGCCGTGATGTCCATGGTCGGTGTGAGCTTACTTTATTCAATCAACTTAAAAATGAGATGCCTTGATGTCATGAGATCATGCCGTCACGAGGCCATGGTCATTTTTATGATAAATAACATCAAAGACACAGAATGTATCTTGCACACAGAATTGAGGAATTAAAGTGAGAGAAAGAAGAGAGAAAATGCCAACCCTACCAAGGTTTATGGTGGTGACATCAAACACCAACGGGAAATACTTGCGGTACATAGATGATGATGTGCCAGCAGGGTATCTCAAGTTCTCTGGACAAGAGGCAGGGAGCCAATATGCCAAGTTTGAAGTGGAGAGGGCAAAGAATAGCGGCAATGAGGGGCTTGTCCATATTAAGTGTTGTTACAACAACAAATACTGGAGTACCTCTTGTAACACCCCGACCCCAAATTTATTCATTGTTTAATTAATTTAAGTGGAATTGAAAAATTACCCGTGGGATAAGGGTATTTTGGTCATTTTCTTACCCCGGAAGGAATTTGGGAATTCCGGTTGTACCGTTGTGTAGAGCACGGTGAGATGAGTCCGTAGACACGTAGTGGGCTCGAATCGGAGTTGTAACGAGAGAGATATGGTCAAATGAAGCTCAGTGGCATAATCGTAAATTTTTGGAAAATGGATTTTTGGTTAAAAGACGGAAATGCCCCCGTCTGTCTCTCTCTCTCCCGCGCGCGTCCCTCTTTCATGAGAGTGGGGACCGAAGCCTTAGTTTTATAGGTGAGAGCCTTGAGGTTCCTAGCCCATAAAGGAATCCTTAAAGCTTATCCTTATCACCACATGAATCCATAGCCCAATATAATAGATATTCCACAAGTGAGATAGAGCTTCAACTCTATCAAACTTATCCGTGTATATCCAGCTTATCTCTCCCTTGTATCCCTGATCAGATTGGACTCCTAAATAGATGTGAACTCAGATAGAGTTCTTACATTCTCCCACTTGAGTGAAACATCCATTTAAGACTCTTCCTTAAAGATCAAGGATCAAAACCTTATGTGCACAGTTTGGAAAGACAGCTTGATAACAATATCTATATCAAACTCATTGTCAAATATTGCCAACTTAAAGGACTACAGACACGATAACCATTACATGGTGTCATCCACCTATAAGCACAGCAAGCAGTAACATTCACATAGAGTACCAACAAGCTATGTCCAACATCACATGATGAATGATCTAATCTTTGAAGTTGTTCATTCACCACACGAATGGTCCTCTTTATGATCAATATATTTATACATATGATCTTACCTGTAGCTTAAATAGTTTTACAACTTAAACTGTAAACTGTAATCATATTGCAAAATCAATGAAATTGAATCAATATTCATTTGAGAATCCAAACTGTCCAGAATAATTTTAGTAGATGACAAGACAAAAACACTAGCTCAAATAACAAACAAAACTTAAACAAATAGCTGAAGTGAGAACTAGTCATCAACTCCCACTAGACCAAAGAATCTTCGAAACTGGGTTGTAACCCCATATTGGTCACATGCCTATGAAAAGCATTGTTTGGAATTGCTTTATTTAAAGGATCTGCTATCATTTCTGTAGTGTTGATATAGTCAACAGTGGTTAAGCCCTCTCGAACCTTTTCTCTTACTAGCAAATACTTCACTTTCATATGCTTGAGTCCAGCAGACCTTTTATTGTTCTTGCAAAAGAACACTGCTCCTTTATTGTCACAAGCTTTCCAATGTGCAATGCCCGGATCAGATTGATACCTGCCTAATACACTAATGGAAAATGCTAGATCAGGTCGTGTGCACACCTGTGCATACATGATACTGCCTACTACCGAAGCATATGGTTTGTCCTTCATTTCTGCCCTTTCTACATCATTCTTTGGACAGTCTTCTTTGCTTAGTTTGTCTCCCTTTGAAACAGGAACCTCAGCTCCATTACTTTGAAGCATGTTAAATTTCTTCAACACCTTCTCAATATATGCCTTTTGAGACAGACCTAGCAGTCCTTTTTCTCTATCTCTGTGAATTTCGATTCCTAATACATATGATGCTTCTCCAAGGTTCTTCATCTCAAAATTCATGGAAAGAAAATTCTTAGTCTCATGTAAAAGACTTTCATCACTACTAGCAAGCAAGATGTCATCTACATAAAGAACTAGAAAAATGAATTTACTCCCACTGAATTTTAAGTATATGCACTCATCTAATCTGTTTTCGACAAAACCATTTGAAGTAATGATCTTGTCAACTTGAGATACCATTGTCTAGAGGCTTGCTTCAAAAAATAAATTGATTTCTTCAATTTACATACCAAATGTTCATTGCCTTCTTCTATAAAACTCTCAGGTTGTAACATGAAAATTTCTTCACTTAAATCTCCATTGAGAAAGGCTGTTTTCACATCCATTTGATGTAAAAACAAATCAAAATGAGCCACAAGTGCCATTATGATCCTAAAAGCATCCTTGGTTGAAACCGGTGAGAAAGTTTCATTGTAGTCTACTCCTTCTTGTTGTGTGAACCCCTTGGCCACCAAACTTGCTTTATGTCTCTCAATGTTACCCTTAGAGTCTTTCTTGGTTTTGAACACCCACTTACAACCAATAGGTTTAATTCCTTGTCTTGGCTCAACTAGCTCCCACACATTGTTGCTTTTCATGGATTCCAACTCAGATTGCATGGCTTCAATCCACTTCTCAGAGTATTCACTAGACATGGCATGTTTATAATTTGATGGGTCCTCAAATTCAATACCGTCAAAATCAGCTTCATTCAAGTATACAAAATCTGGCAGCACATTTGGTCTTCTATCCCTTGTAGATCTTCTCAGCTCTTGTTGTGGGAACTGTTGATTCTCAAATGCCTCAGGTTCATTCTCTTCCCCATTCAAATCCTCCATGTCTTGATCATGAATCACAGGTTCAGTTGATGCATTAATTTGAGAAGACATTTGATTTAA